TTCATGTGGTACATATACACGATGGAATACTACACAGCCATAAAAAAGAACAAAATCATGAATTTTGCAGCAACCTGGATGAAACTAGAGTCTATAATACTGAGTGATCTCTCACAGAAACAAAGATCTGAGTATCACATGTTCTCACTCATACAGTGGACCTTGAACATCCAATGTAATAGTATAAGAAAATGACTGATAGTGGTGGGAAACTATGTGGGGGGGAAGGAAGATGGGATTAACGGTAGTAAATATCTGTCTGGGGACGGGGAGACACCTCTTATCAACAAGGGTGTCTAAACGAAGCATATTTGTATACCTAACCCTTAACTGTACCCCACAATATCATAATAAAAAATATTGATTATAAAAAAAAACTAGAAATGGACATTCCATATGATTCAGCAATCCCCTTACTGGGAATATACCAGGAGGAACTCAAAACATTCTACAAAAAAGATACCCGCACACACATGTTTATTGCAGCCTATTCACAATAGCAAACCATGGAACAAACCATCCTGCCCATCTAAACTGGACTGGATTTTTAAAATGTGGTACATATACATGATAGAATATTACACACCCATAAAGGAGGACAAACATATGAACTTGGATGTACTTAAAGTCTATAATACTCAGTGATCTATCACAGAAACATAGAACTGAGTACATGTTCTCATTCACTAATAGACGCTGAACAATTACCATAATACTATAAGAAAGTGATTGACAGTAGTGGGATTCTGCTGAGGGGGGAACACAACATTAATAAGGATAACTGATTTCAAACCAGGTGAAGTGGGGACCAAAGGGAGGCCCAAACTTTACCTGTACGATGACCACTTGTATACCTAGTCCTGAATTCCACTCCACATCATTAAAATTTAAAAAATCAAAAGTTAAGAAAATTTTAAAAAATGAAATGGAATCAAACTAAAAAATAGTGCAAGTGTTGGTGATAGGATGAGATTATCAGTTTTGAATATGGCTTGGTAATAATAATATTTAAAAAGGTTTATTGTTTGTATTTAGACCATTCAGAATGCCCTATCTTAAAATGGCTGCATCAAAATACCAAGCAATATACAGCACTTCAGCTCAATTGGGTGTAATGAGGAGAAAAAAGGTGAGGAATGGTAGTAATAATCAAATAAATGACAAAATGCTTAGTGCTTACTATATGACCAGTGTTCTACTAAGGACATTGCATGTATTCCCCTCCCCCCCATTTAATCCTCACAGAAATTCTGTTAATTAGACAGCACTATAGTCCCTCCGCCTTTGAAGAAACCAAGTCTTGGAGAGGTTAAGTAAATTTCCCAAGGTTACATGGTTTGTTACTTGTAACTCCTAGAGGAATCAAGAGAATCACTGGTAGCAACTAAAGTACAAAAGATATTACAGCAATTTAAAAAGTGCTTGTTAAGGAAAAGTGAAACTAATGGCTAAAATTCATTGAAGGGTAAGAAAAGGAACTGAAAAAAAATCACAGAAATATTCCGATGTGTTCTACCACTCTCATCTTTCCTTGCAGTTGATAAAGAGTTAAGTGACTAGACCCGGAATGAAAACCTGGCCACTAATATAGTTAATGGTAACTTGCTACTCTTGTTTTGAAAGCTATTCTGTTTTCACTCTTTGGTTTTCTCTCCAGGCTACAGTATCCTCCATGATGTTACAACTGCAAGGTGCCCAGATGCTGCAGATGCTGGAGACATCCTTGAGGAAAAGCCTCCCTTCCTCCTTAAAGGTAACAACAGAAAATTCTGAGGGTAGTAAGGAAGAGAAACTTGCTGTGAAAGAGGAGGGAAAGATGTACATTTATGGATCTCCGATTTTGAGCCAGGCACTATTTCATGCTTTCTCTTATTTAATTTGCATTATCTCTCTGCAAGGTATTTGCTGTCATGGCCATGTCATTAATGAGAAAATGGCAATTTGTCTGATATCCCACACAAAATGAGTTGCAATGCTATGATATGAACATAGGTATACCTGAGTCCAAACACTGCCTTTTGCTCTGTGCTGACTCAAAACATTATTTCCCTGCTTTTCCAAGTATTTCACAACACTTGGAATTTGCCCAGAGTTCTCCTCCAAATTTGACTGACATTGCATATTAATTTGACTTTATTCATTCTAATTCATTCACTTGCCAGGTAAGAGATTACCACTATGAGTCTCCTTTGAAATTAGTAACAGGTCAGTTTCTATATTGACTAAAATTTCTCAGTAGCTCTGAACTTAATGCATTATCAGGCTATTTTGGGACTGGCTCCCAATATCTCCCTTAACCTCGTACAAATAATTAGAAATCTCAAAATTAAATAAAATATTGAAATTTATAAATGTTAAAAATTTAAAATATTTAAAAAACTGTATCCCTATAAAGTTAATATATTTTAGGTAAGATAAATGCATTCAACTTTCTCCTTCCCTATCAGATTTGTTATTTCCTTTTTTTTTTTCAGTGTAATGGAGAAAATATTAGCATTCTTTATTTGTAGATCTTATGGTTTTATTTTTCAATCATTAGAAATAAATTAACAAAACAATATACCCTGTTCTTTAATAACAAACAAAGTGGCTTCAAGTCAACTAATCTAAAACAGAAATCACCCACACTGATAGCTCCCACTAATGTTTATTAATATTACCTAATATTTAGCTGCCTTCACTTGACAATCCTTAAAATCTAGACAACTTTCAAGAAAGTCAGCGAATTTTTCTTGGTGGTTACATCAGTTAGACACTCCATGAACACTTGCCTGAGATATTTTTTGTGACAAGCGACTACTTTTTAAGTTTCTCCAGGCTAATCGGCAGTAGCAGAACACTGCCAAAAGAAGAGGTGGAGCACACAGCATCTCTAAGGATACCTGATCCTAAACCAGGGGAAGTGAGAACCAGTTAGTTTCAAACCTCACCTGCATGTAAACTTTATGTACCTAATACCGATTTGTACACCACATCTTCATAATAAAATAAAGTAAAGCATAATAATAGTAATAATAAGAAGAAGAAGAAAGGGCTAGAAATTTGAAAAAAATAAAAAATAAATCTCCAGGCTAAAAGTTTTTCTTCAATGCTCTGTGATGTCGAATTTTGTGATTTAAATTTCTCTTATTTCTTGTGTTAAGGGGACTCTAGTCATTTTGAGAAAAGCTCTTGGTGTACCTCAATAACCCTTTCTTGGAGTAGAGTGAGATAAGGTGGCTATTATGGCTTCTCAACTTTTGTAAAGGAATAACATTCCTCTTCTTCGAGTGCATATTAAAAAATACATATTTTCCCTTAATGGTATTTTAGAATATTTGTATACCAGGTAACTTTAACAGATAACCTAGAACTCACTATTACTCAATACTTAACTTGGACCTAGTTGAGAACATGTTCATTCATTCTTCTAGGTATTACATATTAAATACATTTTTTTAAAAATAACTGTTTTTTCATTACATGGATTAATTGCATAATGGTAAAGAAGTCAAGGCTTTTAGTGTACCCGTTACCCTCCTAGCACACATTGTACATGGTGGGTAATTTTTTATCCCTCACCCTCTCTCAGCTTCACACTTCTGAGTCCCCAAAGTCCATAAATATTAAGCACACTTCATTGTAGATATCAACAGTTGATTCAACTGATAACAGCTACCCACTGTGTTATATTCACTGTGTTTTGTGTTCAGTAAGAAAAAAAAGAGTTTTAATTAATTTGACTATGGCATTATGAAAGAATAACCTTTCAGGTTGGGCTTGGTGGCTCAGCCTATAATCCCAGCGCTTTGGGGGGCCGAGGTGAGAGTATTTCCAGAGCCCGTGGGTTCGAGATCAGCCCGGGCAACTTGGAAAGACCTCGTCTCTACAATGCATAAAATTAGATGGGCATAGTAGCATGAGCCTGTAGTTCCAGCTACTTGGAAGGCTGAGATGGAAGGATCTCCAGAGCCCAGTATGTTGACACCGGGGTGGTTGTGAATGTGCCACAGAACTCCAGCTTGGGAGACAGAGTGAGACTACAACTCAAAAAAAAAGAATAACATTTACATATATCTTCAGATTTTGCAATGAACAATATAGTATAAATACATTTTAACAGGCTCAAGGCACAATTGTGTAAAAAAAAACCTCTATATTTTTCCCAAACTGTACTGAATTTCCCTATCAAACCACCACTCATGGCTGAAAGCACAATAAATTTGGATAAACTCAGTCAACTTAGCTTTTATTCTCCCTTTTGTGTCTCCTTGGTCTAAGATCAATAGTTCATGTGGGGTTAGGGGTGACAGGATACAGTTGCAGTCCTTGGTCGTCATCTATTTGTCGTGGAAAGAATGAGGTGTACATGGCCTTTTTGACCTTTGGTCATTGGCATATTTCCAAACTGGTATCTGCTAAGGCTTCATGTTCACAGCTGGCATGAAGTCTGCTGACATCCACTACTGCATTCTACAATCCCCAAGTCATAAGGACACTTACTGTTCATGGGGTTTGCTCTCACTCACTCTCACCCTCTCCCCTTCTTTCACTCCTCAATAGCTTGCATAGCATGACAGAGGTGGACCCAGGCTTGAGAACCCCAAACTCATTCTCTTGAGTAGTCAGCTATAGCATTCTGGTTTGTAGGAATTCATTTAACTGCTGGATATATATGTTAAAGAATTTTAAGTATGTATACAAACTTTGAACCAGCAACTACCGTTGTGAATATTCTAAGAAAATATTGAGTAGCCATGCAAAGACTCCTGTGAAGCATACTCTATGAAGAAGTACTTAAGTGAAAAGTTGAATATGGCAGAAATGGCTATCAATTGGCAAGTGAATAAATAAATGGTGATGCATTCATGTAATGGAATCCTACTTAGCCATTAAAGATGATAAGATGATTAAAAATTGATTTTTATGTTTATTAACATAGAAATGGACCCACAATATGTTCGGTTGGAAAAATAGAAAGTATGAGTAATTTTATTTTTCTAAAATTGTATGTCTTTATGCGTATAAATATTTGAAATTTTTGGGAAAAGACAATATTAAATCCTACAATAAAGAATAATAGTCTTTAAAAGATTAATTTTGTTTATCTGAATATTTTACTAGTGTATGCATGTTTTATATTTGATGGGCAGTAAACATTTTTCTTATTTGTGGATTCAAAAGTACATGGAGATTCTCTCAGCTCCTTTCTATCATAGAATGTTATGATTTTGCAGAAATAATTCTGTCCTCATCAATCAAGGCACTGTGGCATCTTTTACTAATAAGCTGAAGTCTCTCACTTTCTTGGGGTCCTGCAGGTTTACGGGACTGTTTTCCACATGAACCATGGAAACCCATTCAAGCTAAAAGCCCTGGTGGACAAGTGGCCTGATTTCAATACAGTGGTTGTCCGCCCTCAGGAGCAGGTAAGGTGCCAGATGTGGGTGAATGTTCTTCTCTTTTTATATTTTCCATGTGCCTACATGTTTGCCAATATGGTAAACCCAGGGTGTACAGAATTGAATCATAGTGATGATCAACAAGTTCCAGTTCTCAAGAAGCTGACAATCTGGAGGAAAAGATAGACATACAGATAAATTACAACTAATTGTGAATTATACAAGAGCACAAGATGTACAAAATTCAGAAATAGCTCAAGAGAAACCTGATTCACATAAAGAAGTTGGCTGGGCACGGTGACTCAGCCTGTAATCCCAGCAATCTGGAGGCCAGTTGAGAGGATTGCCTGAGCCCAGGGGTTTGAGACCAGCCTGGGCAATTTGGTGAGACCTCGCCTCTACAATAAATCACAAAAACTAGCTGGAAGTGGTGGTGTGCGTCTGTAGTTCCAGCTTCTTGGAAGGCTGAGGTGGAAGGATCGCCTGAGCCCAGCAGGTTGAGTCTGCAGTGGCCGTGAGTGTGCTAATGTACTCCAGCCTGGGCAACAAGAATGAGACTCTAACTCAAAAATAAAGAGAGAGAAAAAAGGTACATATATATAGAAGTTGGAGGTAGATGTTACAAGAAAAAATTTAAAATACTTCTTAGCGGAGATTTTATCTGAACTGAGTTTAAAGGTAAAATATATTTATAAATATTATGTGGAAAATGGATATTCTAACCAGAAAAAAAAAAGGGCAAAGATATAAAGCTGCTAAACAGGATAATAAGTTAGAGTGACTATAAAGACCAAAATTATAATGCTAGAATTTTCACATCCATTTGAAAAACTTCAAAATTTTTGAAACTAAATATGTAATATATATCAAGGCAAAAATTCATAAGCTTATTCTGAGACAAAAAAAAAATCCCACTAGTATAATACCTTGAATATAAAGTTATTAAAATCACTAAATTTAGCTATATATGCTTATCATTTTGTGGTGAGAACACTTATAATCTATTGCCTTTAGAATTTTCAAGAAAATAATACATTGTTATTAACAGTCACCATTCTATACAATATTTCTCTTGAACGGTTCCTAACTGAATTTTTTTATCCTTTGATCAACTCTCCAATTTCCCACTCACCCCACCCGAAACTTTGATAGTCATCATTCAACTTTCCTTCTATGAATTCTTGTTTTTACTCTACATACAAATGAGATCATGTAGTATTTGTCTGTCTGTGTCTGACTTATTTCACTTAGCATAATGTAATCTAAGTTAATTGTATGTGAGGTGATACATATGATAATTAGCTCAATTTAGTCATTTTACAATGTTTACATATTTCAATATATGTTGTCTATGATAAATACATACAATTTTTGTCAGTCTAAAAATGAAAAAATAAGCAATATATCAAATGAATAAGTTTACATCAAAAGTAAAAAATAAACTAAAATGCAATTATTTTATATTTTAAATGTGATCTTATGCAACAAAGTCTATCAAGTGTATAATTACTGACTTGAGACTGTATTTTTGTGCAAAATTGTCCAACTTTTTTTAAGTTTTCTGATTTTGCACTAATTGTGGTAATATTTTCCTTTGCCTCCTTTACCAAATAATTGCATCTGTTTTTTAATAATCTGAGATCTTTCTGAATAAGTTGCCTATTTGTTTTCTGAAACTTCCATCTGTCTAACCATTTTTAAAAGAAAACATTTCTAATTGGTTTTTAATCTTTGGTTTCAGAGATGGATATTTTAATCTAGAGTTGTCTGTATTAAATTTAGCTCTGTAATGTTCATAGTTTGTGTGTTCTGCAAGTACTCAAACTGTAGTAGCATTTATTCTTACAACAGACACTTTTTTGTTGTTGATTGATTTTCTCTTCCTGTTGAAGATGATGGAGGTGTACAAAAATGCTTTCTAAATAATTGTGTCTTGGATTTAAAAAAAATTTTTTTTTTGGAAAGTAGGATTTATTGAAAGGACAGAAGAGCTCCCAGAGTGGAAGGGGACCTAAAGTGATTGCCCAGATTTATTGTGATACATGAAGAGAGAACAGCATTGCTCTGAAGGTTTTCCTCATAGATCAAATACTTGAGTCTCTGGTTTTTATCTCATGATTTAAATGATTCAGAATAATTGTAAGGTGCCAATAAAACACCGATATTTTATTAATTAAAAATAATTTGGTATAATGGAATTTTTAAAAATAGAGGTGCAATTATAAAATACAGAAAATGTGGTTTATTTCTGTTTTCCCAATGATAATAGGATATGACAGATGACCTTGATAATTATACCAATACTTACCATATTTACTCCAAAGACCTCAAAAACTGTCAGGAATTCCTTGGCTCACCAGAAGTCATCAACTGGAAACAATGTTTACAGATTCAGAGTAAGTATGAGGAATGGTATGTGTGCTGACTCATTTCTGTGTCCCAAGCAAGTCTTCAGATGACTGGTACCTTCTTCCTTCAGGCTCTATACATGCTTGGCCCACTGTCAACTTTTTTTTACTCAGCTTTAACTATACCTGTAAAGGTGTGTTTTAAGGTTTAAAATCAAACCTTAAAACTTGCAAAGAATGTAGTTTATTAGGGCACCTCAATATAATGTCTTGGTACTAAGGATTTGTGACATATTTTGCAGCTGCAACTGAATCCATAGGGTGATCACATGCCAGAAAGGAGCCTCCCCTCTGGCCTTCTATTCCTGGAATAAGCATAATAACTCTTTTTGTCATAGATCACCTCTCAAGTGACCAGGGAAAACTGCTGTGGTGACAAGCATGCCCTCTGAAATCAGACTCCCTAGGAGGACATCTGCCTATTACTTGCTATGTGATCTTAACCAACTGATTTACCTTCTCTGAGATCATGTTCCTCATATATAAAAATGAGGATAATAATGCTATCTATAATACAGGGCACTAAAAAGATCAAATAAAATTTTGACTAGGGACAGCTTAGCATGATACCTAGATGTGTCAGATTACTGGATGTGTGAGCAAACCTCATAGTCTATGAATCAATGATGTGGGCTTTGTAAGGCAGTTATTCTGCCTGTCTCATCTGGAGTCACTCATGAATGGACTATTGGTTGGTCTTACCATGGCCTCATTCATGTGTCTGAATGAGGATTCTGGCTGTCAGTGCCAACTGGTGACTGTGGTGACATTATAGGAGCACATGTCTTCAGTAGGCTTTTTAAATGGTGTTAGTCTTAAGGTAACCAAGAAAGGGGACAGAAGGGAAAACCTCAAGGTGGCATGTTTACACATCTCCTTACATTAAATTTTCTCTTTCTATTGGTAAAAGCAAGTCACATGGCCAAGGACAGATGCAGTGCAGGAGAAGGCTATCCCAGGAAGGGATTCTGGGATATATGCGGAAACTGTGGGTCTTTACACAACAATCCATCACACTAAGAACATAGCTCAGTAGATGTTACCTAACCTTTTTAAAAAAACACATCTACTTGATTATTAAAGCTACATGATTATGTATCCCAGAAAACTTGGTTCTAGTGTCAGTATTGCCACTAACAACACAACCATGGCCAAATCCATTCCTGGCCATGTTTTCCCTTAGAAGAAGCAGGAAACAAGTATACAAAGCATGACTATGTAACTCACATCACACTGTGGCAGCATCAAGCCCAGAAGCAAGGTTTTATGAGACATAATCCCAGTTACTTCCTGCCCCACTGGAGAGCTTCTCCCTGGAATGTGTCTAAACCATTACATTGGTTATTATAACCCCATCTAGGTTCACAGTCCAGCCTGAATGAGGTGATACAAAATCTTGCAGCCACTAAATGTTTCAAAGTCAAACACACACAGTGCATTCTCTATATGACTCCAGAGACAGTCAAGAAACTTGCCCCTTCCCTGCTGGATGTGAAGACTTTTTCACCCAATAATTGCAAGCCCAAGCCCATGTGAGTCTGATAAAAAAACATTCTCTACTGCTCATATCTCTCATTACTGATGCAGCGTCCCATCTTCTCTCCTTGCTTTCACGCTGGTCTTCCTACAGTGTTCCCAAAAAATGTAACTTAGACAATGTATCTTTCCTGCTTAAAAGACGCCACCATTTCCCTTCTCAACTGGAATAAATGAGGCCTCTGACTACCACTTGGACACTTCCTGCCCGTCTTGCTCCCTTCTGCCAACAACACTGAACTTCACTCTGTTTTTCTGTCATCACAAGCTCATTCATGGGGACTTATTGTTTCTTCTGTCTTCACTGTCTCTCAAGACAAAAGAGGTAAGAACAAATATATACCTTCATACTTATGGATTTTTTTTCTTCTTGGACCCTTCATAGCAACCAAGAGATGTTTAAACTCTCATCCCTTGATGCTTCCCATGCTCCCTTGGTGAATAAATTTTGGTTTCATGGTGGCAATGAAAGAAGTTGGAAATTCATTGAGCGCTGTATTCGGAACTTCCCCAGCATCTGTCTGCTGGGGCCAGAGGGGAGCCCTGTTTCCTGGAGCCTGATGGACCAGACTGGAGAGACACGGATGGCAGGCACCTTGCCTGAGTACCGGTCCCAGGGCCTCATATCCTATGTTGCCTATTCCTTGGTCCAAATATTGGACAAACTTGACTTTCCCATCTATTCTCACGTAGACAGGAAGAACATAGCTATGCAAAAAGTGAGTCACGCTTTGTGTCATATCATCCTGAAAGAAAACTGGAACCAGTGGAACTGCATGCCTCTGTGAGGCCAGTCCTGAACAGAAGACAGTGTTGGGTGGACCTGGGCATGTGGTTGGAGGACTGGATGACGGATGAAAAGAAAAGATAAAACTATTTGTACCCCCTAAAGCTATTGCAGTAAAGAAAATCTGCATTAATAAAAACAAGATAAAAATTAACTGTTAAACTATTAAAAACCATTGAATTAAAACAAGAATGCTAACTTTTTTTAAAATTGTCATCAGCAGGAAAGAAGTGAGCACTGTTTGGGCTCTGGGGAGGCAGTGTGATGGTCAACAGGTCACTATGGTCCCTGTACTCACAGGTTCCTCCAGGGAAACAAGCCCAGGACCTCTTGCATTGGACTCACATAGTGTAACCCCTCACACATCCAGGATCTCTGGGACCCGAATAAGTGAATGTCTGTCTGTTTGTCTGTCTATCTATCTATCTATCTATCTATCTATCTATCTATCTATCTATCTATCTATCTATCCACACACCCAATCTCCAAATAAATTATCCTAGAAATCCTAGTTTAACAATGGTGGAAGGCTACGTATCACTGACTTAATTTTGCCTTTGACTTACTTCCCTTCCACCCCCCATAGTAATGTCCTTTAAGTTAAAAAGCGTCTACTCATAGAGGATGGTATAATGGAAACTGAAGACTCAAGAGGAAGGGAAAAAGGAGTGGAGGGACCAAAAAAAATCACCTATTGGGTACAATAGGCACAGGTGGGAGTTGTGGATACTCTTAAAGCCCAACTATTCGTATCCTCCAAAGCTATTGAAATATTTTTTTTTAAAGCATCTGCTGAGCTTTGTTAATTATAGGAAGAATTTGGCTTATGGTTCAACTTCAGAAAAACTTAAATAGTCCCTTTTGTAAAACTAGTTCTCAAGGAGATAAGGAGAGTGTACACACAATTAACAGGGTTATGTTAAAGACTTTGGGAAGTTGTGACCTGACCAAGGAAGTTTCCCCAGCTCCTTGGATCCTTGCTGGCACGTAGATGTCTGCAGTTTTCAGTCACCTGTTGATCCCAACCCTCCCTTCTTTCCACCCTGCCCTTAGCATAAAAAGAGTCTTAAATTTGTGCTGACTTAAGATGGTTCTTTGGAACATTAGTCCACCATCCTCTTGGTTTGTTGGCTCTTTGAAACAAAGTCGCCTTCTTTGCCCCCTGACGCGTCTCTCCACTTATGGGCTGCTGTGCCTCAAGCAGTTCAAGCTTGAACTTGATTACACTAATGAATGAGTTGGGAGACACTTGCCAAATATTCTGGAGCTTGGGGGCAGGGTGTAGATAATGTTTTCTAGGCACTATGACACATTCCTTTCTCTCCTGGAGGACTTTCCCTTCACTATCAACAATGCTTCATTAAGTCTTTGGAGATTATTCCCTTCTGTGATTGTTGCTTTGTATGTATGTATATTATATATATTATATACAAATATATATATGAGCTATATATATTTGTTTAGGTTAAACAAAGTATATACAATATAGCAGAGAGAGTTGTTTTTTAAAAAAACAAACTTCTGTTATCCTGTCCTCTCAGCTCCCACTCGAGGGAAAAACGATCCACTGTTGCTTTTAAGGCTGAGCTTCCTAAACCTGCCACACCCCCCAAACAACACAGAGATGTTTGTCTTTGATTGTACACAATTTTGGTTGTGTTTGTTTAAGCAGAGTGGTTTATGATGGGGAAAACACAGATGGGCATATAGAAGGGGGGGGGGGATGGAAGCTCCCAGACCCAAGGAAGTGTTTATTTATTGAGAAGAGACAAAAGTTGAGGGAGAAAGGAGTCCAATGCACACCTGATATTCCACTTGACTTTGGAACATTACCTGTCTTAGTTTTCTCCTGCTGCAGTGACAAAATGTCTGAGACTCGGTAATTTATAAAGAAGATGAATTTATTTCTCATGGCTCTGGATGCTGAAAGACCAAGATCACAATGTCAGCTGGTTTGGTGTCTGGTGGGGGCCCAATCTGTGTTTCCAAGATGAAACGTTGTTGCTGTGTCCTCTGCAGGAGAAGAACACTGTGTCCTTATATGGCTGAATGACAGAAAAACAAAACTCCAAAGAGTTTTCTCCAGCCCCTTTATAGAGCACTAATCCCATAAAGTCCCTACCTCTTGATATTGTTATGTGATCAAGTGTCAGAATGAATTTTGGAGGAGATACAAGCATCCAAATCAAAGTATTACTTCAAGATGCCTGAACTCTATGCATTTTAATTGCTTCATGAAACAGTTGATTGCTGGAGGGCAACAGCAGGCAAGATATTCTTGCCAGTTGGGACAGGTTAGTTAGGACAGTTTCCTGTCCAAACACTACAAGAGAAACATAATTTGGTCTCAGCACTGGACGTCAAAGAAAGCTCTCAAATGAAAGTGATCAACTTGTTAAGAACCTGTTCCCTCTAGTCCACTTAAACCTAGAATTAGGCTATGGAATTAAGGACACCTCCTCACCACCACTATCCTTTCAAAAACATGACTGAGGTTTAATTTCCTGGCCAGTCAAGAAAGTGGGGAAGTACACTTTGGAAAAGGGTTTCTCAATCTTGTAAGAATGACATTTTGGGCTGAATAATTCTTTGTTGCAGGAGCTGTCTTGTGCATTGTAGGATGTTAACATGACACCTAGCCTCTACCCATAAGATGTCAGCAATACTCTCTATCCAAATTTTGACAACTAAAAATGTCACCAGATAATGACAAATGTCCCCCCAAGCAGAAATTGCCTCTGATTGAAAACCACTGATTAAGAGTAGCAGTTCTTAAACCTGAGCTTGCATCAGAATCACCTGGCTGAAACGATCCATGTTTTAATACCTCTAGATTCTCTGATTTAATAGATATTTAGTGAAACCCCAGAATTTACATTTCTAACTAGTTTCCAGGTGATCTTGTTGGTACTGGTGATCAAGGGACCATGCTTTGAGAACCACTGGTTTAGAGAAATAATAGAACGTAAGATTATAGATGAAAATTTTATCCCACTCTACTTGGGTATATTATTTTACTTTTGAAGTTACAATGTAAATCTGTGCTCTAAATTGATTCATAATATTATTTCATACAAAATTTTTAGAGCTTTTATGAATTTACCAAACCAATAATAACCAAATATTTGATCACACTGAACTAATATAATTTAGCTAACTGCTCTTTGTTAGTGAATGCTGAGGTTAATTTACTTTCATTTGTTCCTTCCTTCTTGTTTTCTTTACCTTCTCCTTTCATCATTCTTTTGTTATTTCTACTTTTTCTCTTTTGAAAAAATGTTTTTAGAGACAGGGTGTCACTATGTTGCCTAGGTTGACCACAAGCTCCTGAGCTTCAATGATTCTCCTGCTTCAGCCTCCCAAGTAGCTGGAACTACAGGTGAGCGCAAATATGCCTAACTCTTTCTCCCTTTTCTTAAATTTATATTGTCCAGGAAGCCTCTCAGGCCTTGAAGTGGCAAGATCAGAGGGTGCCTACATTCTCATTCCTCTTGATTTTAATTTTCCAGACTGTCCTTCATGCTGGAAGCACAAAAATAGATGTGTCAAATTCTCTACATTATTAACTTATTATTGACTATGTGCCAGGCACTGTTGTATGCAGTTGGCACATAGTGAACAAAGGACATAGTTCTGTGGCATTTATACTCTATGATCACTAATTGATACATTTTCATATTACTATTCTTGTGATAATTTTAAAGATTGTGTGGTAAGAATGCACAGTGGAAAATCCCAAGTCTGCCTCCTAAAAACTGCAAATATTGGTTAAGTTATTCTTTATGTCATAGCCTTCTTCAGCTGTAAAATGGTATTTACTTTACAGGATTGTTGTAAGGATGAATAACTTAAGGATTCAATAAACATTCGATATTATTTTTATTATTAAATACTAGGAGGGTACAATGATCACTTGTGTGACAGAGACAGAAAATGTTTAGCAGACTAGAGCCAAGTTATATAGTTTCTGGAATATGGATTAAAAATTAGGTCCAATATGACTTGGTATCAATAACTGGGATACCAAAATACACTTACTCATAAACCTGCTGGCTTGAGAATACCAGAAATACTTTATTAGATATAAAAAGAATACCTTAAAATATTGAGTGTTGACAGTGAGAAAACACAGACCTGTAAAGGTTAAGAAGTACCAGCTTGAACATTCACTTGAGTATTTTGAAATTAGACCTGAAGGGCCTTTTATATTTGTTGAACACGGGACTCTAATGAGAGAGATATAGAGACCACAAAGAGCCAGCTCCGATGCAAACACACGAGGGTCTTTATTCAGGCTCGAGTCTGGGCTCACGCCCGAAGCAGCAGCTTCAGGGACCAGAGCCCCGATTCACAATGGCAAGTAGTTTTTATGCACAATTACAGAGGGAGGGGAAAGAACTCCAAACTTGATTTTACATGATTGGGTAATTTCTCCTAATGGGTACGGGAATACCTGGTATTGGTGGGTGCTGCCCGTGATTGACAGAAACCCACGTAATGGGTCGAGTGAAATGTTAGATAAGTTAGGTCCATACAATCTCGGTTTATGAAGTAACCTGGGCCGGCAGACAAAGGGTTACATTAGCCCTTTTAGTTTACCGATCCAGCCCAAGGCTTACTTAGGAAAGCTTGTTTGCTTAACTTTTGCATAGTCATTATGGGACAACAAAAGCCAAACTTAACAAAGTTTTAAATATGAATGCTGCAAACACATACAGTGAATGTGGGGTAGAAAATCATATACTAATTCTGGGAATTTATAATAGCAAGCTTATAATAGCAAGGCAGTTACTTTTATAAAGGTCTTTGTTCCCTGCAGGTTTACATAGCCACTGCTGTAAATTATCACTGAGATATAAACCGGTGATAAAGCCCACCTAGAGAGGAGGTGGCTCCTCTAAGTCTGGTGCCACCTTGTAGGAATGTTTGAAAGAGGCTTATCGCTTTATCCTTTACATCCCGTTGTAAAAGCATAAGTTAGCCTACTGGTTTGGGTTTGAC